AAACCCTCCCCATCGTTGAAATGCGACGAATTTGTAGTCGCTTTTTATAAAAATTTAAATATATTTTTTATTTATTTTTATTCAATCAATCAATTATATAATGTGCGTCTCTCTTGCTTACTGACTAACAAACTGAGTTGTGTTTTCATCGAAGAAAATGACGATGGCACGTGACTCATCGTAAAACGGTGGCGTGTCGTCTCCGACGAAAGCCTTTCAGTCTCTGTCTTTCTTCAATTTCATCTTTCACTTCACATTTCGCTTTGATTCTTTACTTAATATTGTATTTCCAGCAAAAGTAAACCAAATGCTTTAAGGAAAAGAGCTTTTTGATGATGATTTAACCTAAAAAATTCACAAGAGTTTGATTAATTTGGGTTACGAAAAGGGTGAACGATGAGGAGAGTTTCCACAGAGTTTTTGATTGTTTCGTTTCTGGTGGCGGCGGCGGCGGCTGCGACGGTGGCGTTTGGTGTCAATGTGACGTATGATCACCGGGCATTGGTGATCGACGGCAAACGGCGGGTGTTGGTTTCCGGTTCTATTCATTACCCTCGAAGCACCCCTGACGTAATACTCCGTACACTCCACCGACACTTTCACACACACACACACATTCTCTGTTTCTCTCACTAAAAAATTCCTAACTTTTTTCTTTTATTAAATTGCAGATGTGGCCAGGGTTAATTCAGAAATCGAAAGAAGGAGGACTTGATGTAATCGAAACCTACGTTTTCTGGAATTTGCATGAACCTGTTAAAAACCAGGTTGTTTTTTTGATCTTTACAAGAATCTTGGAACATGAATTCAACTCTTTCACATTTTTTGGAGGGGAATTTTTCTTGATGTTAAAGTGTTTATAACTCTAATTCAAGAAAGAAACTTCCTTTTTCGGGTTGAAGTTTCAAGATTTTCTTGAATCGGCCTATTTTGGATCAGAATCTAATCAAGATTATGCATTTATGTTGATGAAATTAAATGTATTTATATATAATTAAGACCCAAATTCCATATTAATCTTGAAAAAATTATGAACTTCAACAGTATGAATTCGAAGGAAGAAAAGATTTGGTTAAATTTGTGAAATTGGTGGCTGATGCTGGTCTTTATGTTCATCTTCGTATTGGTCCATACGTTTGTGCAGAATGGAATTATGGGTTAGTTTTAATTTTCTATTTTTTTTTCTTTTTCAATATTTAATCATAAAAATAATCCAAATCTTGATGTTTATACTTTATACTCATTAATTTCTTTTTGCAAATAGTGGCTTTCCACTCTGGTTACATTTCATACCCGGAATTGTGCTTCGAACCGATAATGAACCTTATAAGGTTTATTATTTACTTTCATTTTATATCAAAAGTTTCCAAATTTTTTCAACACGTTTTTAACTAAATTCACAAATGTTTTAGGCCGAAATGAAGCGATTTACAGCGAAAATAGTTGGCATGATGAAGGAGGAGAATCTTTATGCATCTCAAGGCGGACCCATAATCTTATCTCAGGTTAGTTATATACTGAGCACGTTTAACTGTAGAGTTCTGAGAATGTTTCGTCAGTCTGGATTATCCAGGCTGACACATTCGACCCGTGCACTAGCTCTGATATTTCTCACAATTTTAAATACTCCAACATAAGTTTAAATATCAATATTAAATTTTTTTTTTATTATAGATTGAGAACGAATATGGCAATATCGATAAAGACTACGGTCCGGCTGCACAAACTTATATCAAATGGGCCGCAAGTATGGCTACGTCTTTAGACACGGGAGTGCCATGGGTGATGTGTCAACAAAAAGATGCTCCGAATCCAATTGTAATACCATAAAAGAAAACCTTTAAATATTAACTTAATGACTTTTGTTAATCAAGATTAACATGTGGTTTCACTTTTTTTTTATTGTGTACATAGATAGACACATGCAATGGGTTTTATTGTGATGGGTACACTCCAAATTCTAATAATAAACCAACAATGTGGACCGAAAATTGGACCGGATGGTTTCTTTCATTTGGTGGGGCCGTGCCTTATCGACCCGTGGAAGATATTGCTTTTTCTGTTGCACGATTTTACCAAAGAGGTGGAACTTTTCAAAATTATTATATGGTTAGTTTTATAAGTTTTTATACATAAGTTTTCACTTTTAGACTTTTTAAGAAAAAAATGTGTAGTTACTTTTATATATATGTCTATGTGTAGTACCATGGTGGGACGAATTTTGGGCGTTCGACTGGCGGACCGTTTATCGCAACAAGTTATGATTATGATGCTCCACTTGATGAATATGGTATGATGATTATTTCTTGATTTGTTTAGTTAATTATAAGTTGTTTTTTGAATTTTGTATTAATGTGTAGGAGCACCTAGACAACCTAAGTGGGGTCATTTAAAGGAGTTACATAAGGCGATTAAGCTTTGTGAAGACGCGATGGTGGCAACCGATCCAACTACTACTTCTCTTGGTAGCAATCTAGAGGTAAGTCCACTTTTGTTAGACCTCATTTGTTACACATGACAAGACTAAACAGAACATTACAGAACAGAACATTACTGTTTTATACTGCGTTTGACATGTATGTGCAAAAGACATAATTGTCCTCTCACATTCATTAAGAAAAAATAGCTATGCAACTTTATTGAAGTAAGGATGTGGTGGGACCCGTTGTACCTTTACTAACATAATCTTTTTTGAGCTTTAGGCTAGTGTGTATAAAACATCATCAAAATGTGTTGCTTTTTTGGCAAATGTTGATACAAAAAATGATGCAACCGTCACCTTCAATGGAAATTCCTATAAATTACCCGCTTGGTCTGTCAGCATCTTGCCCGATTGCAAGAATGTAGCGTTCAATACTGCGAAGGTTTGTTTTCGTTTGACTTTTGTGGTCAACCCTAGCGTATATCAAATTCATTTTTCATATGGGTTTTTTTTACAAATTAAAAAAGTAACGAGATACAAAAATTGTCGCATTTGTTACAATCTTTTACATAACTTATCAATTTCCCACAAAAATTCAAGAATTCAATAGAATTTTGAAATTGAAATTGAAGTTGGTCTATTTTGACAGATAAACTCCATGGCTACAATACGAAGATTTGTAGCTAAAAATAATGGAAACGAATTAATTGCTTCAGAAGAAATTTCGTCTGATTGGAGTTATGTTAGTGAACCTATTGGGATTTCGAGTAACAATGCATTTAAAAAACCGGGATTAGTGGAGCAAATCAACACAACAGCGGATCAAAGTGATTATTTGTGGTATTCAATAAGGTATAAATCAACACAACTTTTTATTTTATTTAAAAAGTTAAATATTATTTTTATTATTACAATTCTAAATAATTTTCTATGGTTATCTTGTAGTGCTGAAAGTGAAGGTGACGAGTCTCAAACAGTTCTACATGTGAAATCACTCGGCCATGTTCTTCATTTGTTCGTTAACGGTCAACTCGCAGGTTTGACCAAGTAACAAAAAAAGAAAAAAAAGTAATTTCGGTTATTTTTCTTGATGAATTTTTTTATTGTAGGTAGTGCAATTGGTAACGCTAATAACCCTACTGTTTCCAAGGATATTCCTATTACACTCAAACCAGGAATAAACAAACTCGATCTGCTAAGTTTGACTGTGGGACTCAAGGTTTGACTTTTGTAAATTTCCATGATTTTGATTGGTAACAATGAATTACAAGAAGGGTATTTATGTAATTTCAATTACAGAACTACGGTGCGTTTTTTGATACAACGGGTGCGGGCATCACCGGTCCGGTTGAGCTTGAAGGGTTAAAGAACGGTTCAACTATTGACCTTTCATCTATGCGGTGGACATATCAGGTAGACATAAAATGACGATTTTACCCTTTGACTATAGTTTCTAACATATTGAAATTTAGGTCGGACTTAAAGGAGAAGGACTAGGGCTACACACGGGTGGTTCGTCACTTTGGGTGTCCGGGGTGCCTAAAAGTCAACCTTTGACTTGGTACAAGGTAATATCATAGTTTTTATAGAACCATTTAATATCATATGTATAGAACTTTTGACTTTATGTTTTACTCATAACCTATGTGAAAACAGACAAGCTTTGATGCTCCTTCGGGTGATGATCCAATTGCAATAGATTTAAGTGGAATGGGAAAAGGTGAGTTATGGGTGAATGGAGAAAGTATCGGGCGTTATTGGCCATCTTATATTGCTCCAAATAGTGGTTGTTCGGATTGTAGTTATAAAGGGTCGTATAATTCAAATAAATGCCTCAAAGGTTGTGGGAAACCCTCGCAAAAGCTGTAAGTGAAGTTTCTTTTTAGGTTAATTACAAAAATGACAAAACTCGTACTTTGTATCTTAACAAAAAAAAACCTTAACAATAGATTAAAAACGATTTTTTATCTCATTGGTATGATCTTGTAGGTATCATGTCCCTCGATCATGGTTAAAATCAAGTGGGAATGTTATGGTGTTATTTGAAGAAATCGGTGGTGACCCTACAAAAATATCTTTCACGACACAAGTGTTGCAAAGTTTATGTTCCCATGTGTCCGAATCACACCCATCTTCTATCGAATCATGGAGTCAAGAAAAGTCAAGGAGAAAACGGAAACCAGAACCAAAAGTTTCCCTAGAATGCCCTCGCCCTAATCAAGTCATCTCCTCTATAAAGTTTGCTAGCTTTGGAACACCTCAAGGGCAATGTGGTAATTTTAGACATGGCGAATGCAAGAGTGATAATGCACTTTCGATTCTACAAAATGCTTGCCTTGGGTACAAGACTTGTAGTGTTGGAGTTTCGACTGTTACTTTTGGTGATCCTTGTGTAAATGTAGTTAAAAGTTTAGCGGTAGAAGCATCGTGTGAATGAAAAACACGAATATAATTATAAATTATAAATCATAGAATAAAACCGTTTTTATTTGTATTATAATAAAATTCAAGGAATCGAGAGCCTTAATTTATGACCATTATTGATTATTGATATATTACAAGGAATTACGATAATTGATTAGTATTGAGATATACGGGGAGGGGCAGATTCGTAATTTGACTGAAATAGGCAGAGTTTGCAACGAGGTGAAGTTAAAGATGGAGTTTCGTATTTGTCTTCTCCACCCATTAATGGCATCGCGATCCCTCTCTTCACTGGGCTAACATACCCTGGTCTGTAGGTTTTTCCCAAAATGCCCTCGACGTTGTCTGAGAGATTTGAGAATCGGAACTGTGTCTCGAAATGGGCAAAAGCGTCATTTAATGGTAACTGGTAGTTGTGAGCTTTTTCGTCTTCTTTGGTCACCGGAACAGCTTTCATGTCGATTTCAACCAGTCCGCGGACTGTAACTCTCACGGTGTTCGCCTCGTCGGTTCTTTCCACCGCCACTTCTCTTACTCCGGTGTTGGTTTTCCATTCTGCGTCTCCGGTGAACGGGACGTTGACTTGTTGACCGTTCCATTTTACGAGAAGTACGTCGACGGAGTCGTCCCATTGTTGTACTTTCTTGGCTGAGAGAACGAGGATGTCGGTGTCGAACATGATGGAGATGGACTGGACCCATGTGTAGTCACGTTTCCGGCCATTTGGGCGGTTTCCGATGAAGTGGGCGTTGATTTGGAGGTTGGTGTCGGAGACAAGAGCGAAATCACGTCCTTTGCCGCCATGGAAGTAGAACATGACTCCGTCGCCTCCGACGAACCTTGGATCATAACATAGAGAGCCATACCCGTTACATTGTGGTCTCCTCCCTGTCATTCAATTGCAAATTAGTTAAAAAGAAGATGTAGATGATTAGGAATTCAAAGAAGCATTTTGTCGAACAGGTGGAGTACATACATTTGCAAGTAGCTTCACACTTGCTACCACAATTGATAAAGCACCCTTTGTTCTTCTTGTTCTTTTTGGGCTTCCTTTCCGGGCACTCGGCCGGACAAGTTAGTGTCTTCTTATTACAAGCTCCTTTCGATTTACATTTCGCCCGTTCGCTTCCTGTTTTTGGGTCTGGTGTCTCGTCGTCGTAGTTCGCGGTATCTTCGTCGACAGGAGAAGGCTTTGGTTTCTCCTCCTTGGGAGCCGGTGCTGGTTTTGGTTTCTCCTCCTCCTTCGGCGGTTCCGGCTTTAATTTCTCCTCCGTAGGGACCGGGGCTGCCGCCGGTTTCTGGTCTTTAGGTGCAGGTACCGGTGCCGCAGTCTTCTTATCGTCTTCAGGCTTGTTGTGGTCATCAGCTCGGACTGAGGTAGCTCCGATGGAGACGAGTACGAGTAGGAAAGCCACCAGAATGAGCGCCTTCCCCATATTCAAACCTCTGTGTGTTTTTCCTTTCTAGTTTTTGTGGTGTTATCTTTCTTCGAAGACTGAAAGGATGGTGATTGAGATGGTTTGGGGAAGAGGAAGGGAAGCCATTTTTATAGGCGGATAAAGCAGTCGGTGAAAGGCATAGCCATGGAGTTCGCACCAATTCATGTCAACTGGATTTCCTTCGCTCCGAAAAAAAATAACTTACAGCCATGAGGACGACGAGATGCTTCCAATATTGTCGCAGAAACCTTTTTGACTTTTTGATTACTTTCTATTCATATCTCGAATGACTTTTTGATATATACACAAAGGAATCATTTTTATTTCGATAAAAAAAATCCAACAAGTTTCATAATTTAGGGTTAATTAAATAAAAACTAGATACTTTCATTTTTCTTCATCAATTCATTAAGTGATTACAAAATTGTCGCATAAATTGATGAAGTCTATGTTTGTTTGTACATTGTTAGCTGAAATTGATGTTATATGAAAAAGATGCTGAATATTGAAAAGCAAAATTACGTTTTAGTTGAAGATATAAAATACATAAAAACATACTTAGAAAATTATATATATATTTTTTTTATAATTAATTAAGTTTTAATTTGGAAAAAAAATTAAAAAGATTTTGAAAAACTAATCTTGGTAGTTTTTAGAAAGTTAATTTATTAACTATGATTCTCCGCAAACAACCAAAAAAAATATGTTGATGGTATTATACATGAAGTACATAACGTGAATGAAAATAAAAGCATATTTGAGTGGGTTCACATCTGTTGGCATCTAAGGAGTAAGGAGTTTTGCTTAACCATGCATTCATGCACTTCTTTTGGGCGGTTCGTTAGGACTCTAGGTTTTAAAATGTAGTTGCTCTTTTAATTTCCTTCCTGAATAAATAATATAATAAGATATTATTATTACATATTACCTAATTAACAAAATACAATAAAATGGAGGGATATTTACAATCATTAGGAATGAAGTAATAACACGAAATGACCAACTTTTTAATTCATAAAAAATGACTACGAAGTCTAAAAAAGTGCTACTGTTGAGACATGACATAAAGTCATTCAAAATAAGATATGTTTGAGTAAAATGTACATTTCGGATCGACTCTTCGTACATGCCGGTATGTCTTTCATTATGGATTCGTATTTCAGATAAGAAATCAGAGATTTATTTTCTCTTTCTATAGGTTTAGGTTTTTATAATCAATTCATATACACCATTTTGTTTGTAACACCTTAAATTTCAAACAATTTTTTTTTTTCATTTTGAATTCACCAAACATTACTCATAAATCCAAGTCATCACAGAATTTTAATCATTATCAAAACATATCATAGTATCCCAAAATCCACAAAACATCATAAGCCGACGAATGTGTACAATCATGTCTCAAGCCTTCTCAGAATCTACAAAGTACCCGAAACATATTTAAATCAACACTGTAAACACGAAACTTAGTGAGTTCCCCAAAATACCACATATACAAATAATTAGCCTCTCATGGCTATATCTCGATAAGGACCCTCCGATCACATGTCTCGGTGAAGACCCTTCGGTCTCATGTCTCGGTATGGACCATCCAGTCATAACTCATTATATACACTGAATAATATAAACAACATAAGTCACAAAGACAGAATGTATAATAACACATATCTCAATATAAGCAACTAAGACCATTTAGTCAATAATATGAATAAGACCCTACGGTCACACATATGACTAGGTGTCTAGTAAGTAGCAAAGAGTGATTTCAAGGATGGAATCCAGTTTAAGCGGGGAGAGTTGTAACATCTAGTTTCAAGAAGCTTTTAATTTCGAGAATTGTGCACATTAATGGATCAACTTAGGCCCTAGACTTCAAAGGGTTGGGTTCTAGGCCCATTTAGGAGCTATTATATATATATATATATATATATATATATATATATATATATATATATATATATATATATATATATATATAGGTTGTGCGAGGTGATCTTTAGATTTGTACTTTAGAGCCTAAGGGTATAATGGTAAAAGTGATGGTGCGGGACTTTTATCGAATCAAGGATTCTACTTCGGAAGGTTTTGAGTCAAAGAGACTTTATGGGATTGTAGGGTTTCTCATTACCTTTCCGAGCATATAAAGAACGCTAAAAACGAATTGGGACGCGGGAGTTATGACCATTGGAAGATAGGAGGGTTTTGGGTTAAAGCTAGTATGTTGGGCGTACTACGCTTAAGTTATCGCAAAGTTTCTTCCTCGTACACGAAGCGTACATAGAGTATGTTGGGCGTACGTCAGTCAGGGTTAAACTCTAATTTTTGGGTATTGGACCCTATTTAACGACCTTATCTTATTGCAAACCATTCTTACCTTCCGCCTCCATCTTCTCTAACCCAAAATTTGAAACCCTAGCCCCATTTAAAAGATTGTTGAGCCTTTGAGTGATTTTGGTGCATTTAGAATAAGAAAAACTCATTGGAGGAGTGTTAATTAGCTAGGAGCTTAAAGATCCATAACTCTCTTCTACTTTGCAAGCTTTTGGAGGTATAAAGTTTCGACCTTGAAGGTTCTTTCATGTAGATCTAATTTTAGGTTATGATTTGTCACCTTTTGGTCCCATGATTTTGGTTCTTTTGAGTAAAAGCTATTGCAAAGCTTAAGGGTGTCATTTCTTGTTAGATCCAAGGTTTATGTAGCATAAAAGTTAGATCTTGATGGTTGTGGTACAACCATGCATGAGTTTTTAGCCATTAAGTGTTAGTAAGAAGTTAGTGTAATGCCCGTAGATCTGGGCTATTCAATTTAGAGACGATAATCATCAAAAATGACTTTTTTATAGAAAAGTGTTTAGAATAAATAATCTTAACCAAGTTGTAGTATATGTCACAAGGTTTTCGTACATATAAAGAACGTTGAAATCCGAGTTATAACGAAGAAGTTATGACCTGTCGAAGTTTCGCGACAAATTTGGCACGACGCTGTAGGACATAAATAGTGAATTTATGATAGACCAATTTTTAGCCTTAGTGATCTAAATGAAAGTTGTTGAATACGTTAAACCGATAGTGTGCATAAAAGGAACGTCCGAATCTGACTTCGTATGGGGAAGTTATGATTTTTCTAAGTTTCACCTTAGCAGTATGCAGCCCAAAACTCGATATTTAGATCGAGCAATTTTTAGCCGAAACAATCTAAAAGTGAATCGAAGATCTCGTTAATAGTAATGCAACGGTAAAAAGACAGACTAAAACGGACGTCAGATGAAGAAGTTATGAATTTATAACGTACTTTTCCTGTCCCGGCTTACTAAAAATAATATAATAAAACATAAATTCAAAATTAGCCGACGAAGTCTAAACTAAAGTTGTAGAGTATAATTTCACCTACGCATGGATATAAAGAACATTAAAAACGGAGCTCGTATGCAAAATATATGAATTTCTGAAGTTCGGGGCACGAACCCCGACACTGTGTTAGAGTTCACGACATGAACATAGGGTTCACAACGTGAACTCAGAGATGACGTCTCCTGGAGCCTGAGAAACCCAAGTTGCGATGACGCACCTGATGACGATTGAACTCACGACGTGAATATTTGAGATTCACGACGTGAATCTAGAATATCAACCCTATAAATAGAAATTGAAGGGCAACCGATTTTAGTTGCTAATTCCTTCACTTTCTCACTCCCTATACCCTCTCTAGCTGTCTTGAAGTACCCCCGAAGCCCCGGTATCATCTCGACACCTGAAGAAAGTCTCGAAGCCTCGAATATCCCAAGAAAAAGAGTTTTCAAGCCGAAGCTCTGCCCGCGAGAAGTCCGGTTTCTGAGAAACCATTCCGGTTTCATCGAAGAATATTACTTTAAGAGCCGTAGTGTTGTCCAATCATCATCTTATCATGTGAGTGTATAGTCACTTTCATCTTACATATAAATATGAAGTATTTTATATGAAATACGTGCTATTTGAATATATATTGTTTGTTTATTTGAGATGAATGTGGAATGAATTATTTATACAGGTTTTAGATGATTTAAACTATTAATGTATTTTATATCTACAGAAATGTTGGGTAAAACATGGGTAGATAAAATAGCTGGTATATGTTGAAAGATGAGTTGGAAAAATGAAATAATCAGTGATATAGATCATGAGATAATGGCGAGGGATGAAATATGAGAGAAGCCCTTACCCAATAAATTTATTATTTGTGGGTTGAAAACCCTATATGCTCACCAGACTCCCAAGCCCGACCCATTCAGTTTTTCTTTGTATTACAGGTAGTGGCACGTGAGTATAAGTTGAATGACTTATCAAGATAGTTTGGATTACAGATCAGTAGTTGTAAATAACTGTTGTAAGGTCTATTTTATATTGTTTATGCTTTTGGTCTGTATCAGAATATGACATCCTGGGATTTTTGTTATATAATGCAAAATACATTTCTTTAAAGAAATGCTTTGATAAATTCTTATCACATTTTGTTTTGGGAACAAATTCTGCAACTCTTTTAAATCAAAGGATTACTCTGATTTTATTTTAAAAGCATAAACTAAATCGGTTTTTTCTGGCCGTGAAAATGGGGATGTCACAGTTAGGGTTTGGTTTTGGACACCATTAAACCATGCAAAGTTATAAAGTTGGAAATTTATGACTTAAGATGTCCCTTAGAGTTAGATATGTGAATTGGATGTTTTGGTCTTTAAGCATTAAGAGCTTAAAGTTGAGTTTGGATAGTTGGGTAGTACATCGGATGTACCCTCCTGGTACACTGCGGATAACGGGTTTCAACGCGTTACTTTCTCTTCGATTAAGCAGTACGTAGAGCGTACTGGGATGGTACGCGGGGTGTACTCATCAGAAGTCAATATGGGCCATTTTTGGGCCTTGGGTCCTTTGGGTTTTGGGCCATGGATTGTCGGATCGGATATGGGAAGGGTAAAATGGTCTTTTACCCTTAGCATGATAGATTAAGAGTTGGAACTTGATTTTGGGTTATCACCCTAATTTTTTAGTAGGGATGGTTTTAGATATGTGACGTGTGAAGAGCCCAGCAGCAGCAGCACATGTGTGTTTCAATTATCTCGGATTTGAGGTAAGTCTCCTCATTATACCTTTAGGTTGAAGGCACCAATGTCAGACCACTAGGATATGTTATGTAGGATGCTAGCTGTCTTTGTGACTTTTGAATTGTATGATGGGCTGGGCCCAATGGCATGCATGTAGGACCGGGGGCCAACTGTATGAGAGGTTTGGG